TATATATATATATATATATATATATATATATATATATATATATATATATATAAGTAGCTTAAAAGCCGCACTTTCAGGCGGCATTTAAGCTAGCTCCTGCGGCAGTGTATCTTGGTTGGGCCTTCGGCTTGCTTAGAAGTTTGAGAGTCCCTAAGTCTTTGCATATTCTCAGTATTGGAACCCTCTCCTGGCTGCCATTGGATCTGGGCTTTTCATTTGCGCGAATTTTTTTCCTTACTGTAGCCTTGGCTTTTTTATTTGCAATCTGGTCCTCTGTTGGCGGAGATTTCTTTTTGTGGAGCAGTATGCAATAAATTACAAAAAAAAAAAAAAAAAGAAAATTGATCGCTGCATTTAAGTATTGCATTAATATTTAAGCTTACCTTTTAAAAGATCAACGATAATGCCGCCCCTTAATTTAAAGACAATTTCATGTACGTATGTCGTTACTTTCCGTACAAACAATAATTCTTATTTCGCAATTAATTTCGATTATTCACAAATTTATTTCCAAGTTATAAAAATTGTTATCGTACAAAAAAATTCCTCGAAAAAAATCACGTAAAAATCATCGAAAACAATCGCGAAAAATGAAAATTTCGAAATCCAAAATTTCTGTAACATTATTTATTGAAAGTTAGAGAGTTGTGTCCTTTTAAATGAAAACGCGTGACATAATGATGCACTGACATTGGCATTTATTATATAGTAGGAGATGAGATATTGGGAGTTGTGTCCCTTTAATTGAAAAAGTGTGACACACTGACATTGGCATTTATTATATAGGTTTCTCATTAGCGTTGAGATGGCGGCCGCTTGAGAATACCAAGCAACCGTCCACAATCCGAAATAAGTTTTGGCTTTAAATAACCTAAAAAGGGTTGATAAACTGTAAAAACAAATCAATCAATTAACCGACAATCAATCACATTAACACTGATACGAAAACTCGAGGAAATGACTGTAATGAAGTTTTTTTTTTCATTTCTCTGCAATTAAAAAAAAGATTTTTAAATTAAGAGGAAAGGGAGATAAAAATAATTTTGCACTGAACCATTGAGAACACTTAAGATAAATTAATCCTTACTAACCAAGCATTTCTCAGTACTATTGTTATATAGGAATAAAGTGTCGCTGCCAACACTTGAGTTTGAACATAGATCGCCAGTGAGCAAACACGCACGATCCCATTTTGAACAAGTAGATCACGTGATGGTAAAGGTAATATATATGTGGGAATTAGCGTGGCGTCTAATTGATCTCTCTTTCTACTCTATCCTCTATTACTATACGGATCGCTATTCTCTATACTATTTACTGTACTATTTCTCTATTCGGATCACTACACGGAGAACTATTTGGTGGTTACTTTTCGAGCGAGTATTATCGAGCAAATACTATTAGCGCGAGTGTTATTCGAAGGCGTCTGACACTAGTATTGTTCAACGGCGTTACTATAGTTGTATCTGCGATTACAAAGTCTCTACTACAACGATCATTACGAAAGTGACAACGAGTGTTCGTTGACATGACAAAAATTATTTAACTGAACCATTCTACACATTTCGTTAAATATTTATCCGCTCGTTCGAAACATTACCCCTGAATAAAAATACAGAATTTTAAGTGATACATACATAGTTATGCGTAAAACCAATTAATTACGTGTGTCTGCTCCAATTTATTAACTTTTAATAATACAGTTGCCTTCCGCATTTTTGATCACGCATTTTCCTATCATACAGTTCTGTAGAGGCACAGGTTTATATTTTGTGTGTAAGAACGCTTAAAAAATTCTAGTTTTAAAATTAATGGTAATTGCTTCTTCATTTTACATCATTTCGGATTACGAAATGTTCATAGCGATGCTCCATCCTGGGATATTGTTGGGGTAAACTGTATGTATGCTTGTAAGTAGGTGCTAAGATAAGTGCATATATACATATGTGTATGTTCGCCAGTGTATATTTGTGAGTATATGTGCAACGGTAGCTATGTATTTCATGAATGTATATGTTGTCTGTGCGTGCGTCTGTGTTTGCGTGTGTACGTTTACGGTGTGTCACGTGTGAATAAGTCGTTTATCTCGCCGTAAGCACCCTTGCTCAAACAACATGGTGGAAGAGGCATAGAATAAAAAAGGGGTAAAATTATTTAGGTCTGTTGACGGGGTGGGTTGGTGTGTATCTAGGCCCCTGATTTGCTGTCACAGTAAACGCCAGGCGCTCCCTAATAGGCGATGTAGGATCTAATACCCTGTTTGAATGTCATTACTCAGAACTAACTAATCCAGGGAAAAAAAACAATCTTACCCTTGTCAATTTTCATGTTGGCCAAACTCTAACTTGTGAACCAGAGAGAGAAAAAAGTGGAAAGAGGGAGAGAATGAAACGGAAAGACCTGGAGAAAGAGGGAGGGAGAAAGAGAGAGAGAGAGAGAAAAAAAAATGGAAGGGAAGAATGAAAAGAGAGAAAGAGATGGATATAGAGGAAGAGAGCATGCATTGATAATAAGCATGTGTTACTGAAAACACACACGCAAACTTAGTTGCACGCAGAAAGTCTTGTCCGAACACACGCGCAGATATACCTACTCATCTTAATGCACAAAATGTTCGTTCGTCTACTTTCCCAAGACGGCAAAATTAAAGACAAAGAAAAATTATATATAAATTATAAATACCATAAACACGAGTATATACGAATAAACACATAAATATGTTTTTTAATTATTTACGTTATTTCCATTCGGAGTATTGTCCTCGTCTCTGTTATTATTATCTCAACGTTTCGGCTGATGTACTCTCCGGCCTTCTTCAGGTGAAAACATTATAAATGCCATAAATAATAACTCCTCATGACAGAAATCCTTTTTTTAAGTACTTGTATAAAAATAACATATAAATGCAAGGAAAGTAAATTTATGCGGATGATGTCGGGTACAGTTCGAAACACCCTGAATCAAGCACCTGATGAAGGCTGGAGAGCAAAACGGCCGGAACGTTGTGATAATGTTAACAAGAGTCCACACATAAATAATGTAAATAAAAATCCCAAGTTATTAAAAATGAAATTAATGTACACAAACTTCTGTTGAACGTTCAAAAAATAAAAGTGTGACATTGGTACAAAAATTCACAGAACTTAAATAAAATATTTTATTATTTTAAATTCACAGTATCCAGTCATCGATTACTTCTTGAAATTGCTATATGCAACCGTAAGTTCTATGCTAATAGTTTCTTCTCTTGCACTTCTTGCCTGTGGAACCCTCTTCCAGCTTATTGCATATTGTTTTCCATGGCCTTACGCTACCTTTCAGCTAAAATGTTATTCCATGTTTGTATTTTCTATAAATGTTTTCATGGTACTTCGTCTGATAATCTTTTCCCTGTGATACTTCCACTTCATGAACTTAAGCATAGTACTAAATTGACTGACGGGTTTCATTATTTTACTACTGGAATTGGTAAATGTTCTATGCTAATAGTGTCTCCTCTCACACATCTCGCCTGTGGAATCCTCTTCCAGCTTATTGCTTTTCTGTCAACCACAATCTTCAAAAAATTAAATGCAATGTCAATCTTCATTTCCTCTTTTCTTTTAGTTCTTTCTCAGTTTCCTTTACTCTCACTAACCCTTTGCATCTTAGTGGTGTTATTGCCTTCCTTGAGGCGAAATGTTAACAAAATCCATCATGAAAGAACTATTCTGGTTTTGATTCGATTAATTCTTGCAGATTTTTATTTATTTATGTATATGTATATGTATGTTGATTTTTCTGAAACGAAACAAATCGTATTGCATGGAGTAAAAGAAATCAGGTGACGGGTGTGAAGAATACGCCACATATGGAGTAATTTCTCATCTACGCTCCATGGTCATTTACTGCTTGGCATATTTAAGACGGAAGTTGTCAGGCAACAAAATCATCGGGCGACTTCTTTGTCTTAAAGAATCATTATTCAAACGAGCAAATTGCTCCTTAAAACGTTGTACAATGAAAGTTTGTCCAGATTCCTGCAGTTTGTAATAAAGAATTCATTTTAAATCACAACAGACAAGGAAGACATTTTGCCCGACGCATTCTGTTCAGAGTGAATTCTTGAAGGTTGTCCTGGATCTAGCGTTGGGATTCTCGCAATTAATACGTTTTTCATCACCAGCAACCATTTTTATCTCCAATATATTCTGTTTAGGTTGAAATGTGACGACTGTCCTGAAATTAGCCATAATTTTCTTCGTTTTGGTCTTTTGTAATAAACTGACTTTTATTATAATTTGGGGCTCTTTATCCTATTAATATTTTAGGCTTTTGTAATAAACTGATTTTTCATTGTTAATGACTATCTTCTTCAACATTTGTATTTTTCAATACCAAGAAAGAAGCAAAAAAAAAAAAAATGTTTTCAATGGTTGATCCTTTCCTTAACTTTATGCTGCAGCTATTACCCTCATTTTTATTTTTTTTTATTTTCATAAGGTTTGTAAACGAATTGATTTCACAAGTAATTAAAAGCTCAGTAAACTTCAAAGACATTTCTAAGATTTACCTCAGCCAATCAAGATTGACTGAAACATTGTACATTGTGTTATTGGTGATTATCACAAATTTAATTTTCAAGGTTGACTAGTAATTTGTGTATAAACTGGTAAAGAATGTAAACCTGACCAGTTCTCTCCACATATCTGTGTCGAATGCCGTAGAGCTATTAATTTATATGTAGCGTGCCTTGGGCAAGTGGACCTGGTGGAGTCCATCACTGTCCAGGTGACACTGATCGACTTCAGTCTGAAGTCTCGATTTGGTCACAGACACGTGATCATTGATTCTATCTTTGTACTCACCGTCCTGACCGTAAACTTCAGTATTTGAAGGCCTCTAACCAGCGATTCTGTGTCATTACTGTATCCATAACTTATGGATCTTAGTCAGACCTATTGTGATATCGATCCTACATCTGGCTTTTCACACATTCTGCTGGCTGTCTAGCAACCTTCCTCACCAGAAAAGCCTGGTGGGGCAACCGGCGGTTTAATCGCCGACCCGTTCATGCAGCAGGTAGTACTGGGTTACATGATACCAGTAGCAATCGTAGAATGGCTACACACACACACAGTGATATTTCAAGCATAGCCTAGTGGGGTGCGGGAACCCAGTGAGAATCGAACTCACTACTCAGTCCTATGTGTTCTAGCGAGACAAGCTTGCAAACCATTACACCAACTCGAGGTGCCCCCCTCCCCCACATGATATTCTTTACTCATTTATATTTAGTTATTACACTGATTTACTTATACTGGTATATGTAAAGATTATGCTAAATATATTTTTTGAATAGATATGAATATTATAGTCTTTCTTTGTCATATAGGTATTTGTTAAGTGCGTTTTCAGCTGTTACCAGTGCTATGCCCTGAAAATACGCTGACTATGGCTTCTGATTGATGATGTATGTTGTTTTGCCAGCAATGAATATGCACAATTCTGTATATTGTTTTATAAAGTGTAACTGCAAGCAAGAAGGTCTATATGCACGCACTCGCATACCTAGTTGCATTTTATGTGGGTATATATAAAGATAGGCATGCCCTGTCACAAAGGAAAAAGATTCCCTTAATAATTTTATGCAAAGAATTTAATCGTCATATACATATGTCAAAGAACATAATCACACACACACACACACACACACACACACACACACACACACACACACACACACACACACACACAAAATGAGAAATCGGATAGCTCGAATTACATATGTTCGTAATATACGCATATACGCATATACGCGCAAATACACTTGGGACCGGTAAGAATCCATGTCCTCCCCCAGCTATGGGTTAAATAGTACGACTGGAATTTTATCTGGAACAATCCTTGTTATTCTCAAAAAAAAAGAAATTTTAATGCAATATTCACTGAAAGAAAAAAGAATTTATTTTACAATCTAAAATGGGTTTCGGTTTTAAATAACCTACAAAAGGTTGATAAACTGCATAAAAGAAATTCATCAATCGAATAATCATAGATGCAAACCTATTTTCAAAAAAAATAAAAATAAAAAAAGGCACGCACGTGCACATATTTTTTCTCCTGCTTTCGTTCTACCTTACCTACAGAAGAAGCACACACCCAATCACCCACAACACACTCCTGATCCTATCTCAATGCTCGCTGCTTTTCCCTCGTGCACATAAACATCACTTGTCAGCTAAGCAAGAGGGGGGGGGGTAAGACGAAATACTTCAATCACAAACAGCAAAAGAACCATTAAAACTAATAAACGTGTAACAAAAAGGAAAATTTAGACAAGTTACTTACTAAAAATCGCAATAAAGTGATTTCCAGGCAAGCATCTGCATCCATCATTTCTTATTTTGAATTCTCCTCTCACGAATTAAAAGCCTGAAACCGATCTGAAAAGTCGACTATACCCCTTCCCGTTTACCAAGATTCATAGAAGTCTTGGAATCCACTACCGAACACACGCAAGAAATATTTTTTTTTATCTCAACGTTCTTTCTTCTCTGAATTTCTGGGAATTATTATTTACATTCGGTCTAAGACGGTTAAAATTTATAGGGAACCTAATGAGAAAAGAAGGCTTGGAGAATTTAACACTGAAAAGACATACGGCAGGCAAGAGAGGAAAGCTGTGAAATGTGCAAAAAGTTGGCAGAACAGCAATTAGGAAAGGTAACAAAAAAGACAAACCTTACTAAGATCTACAAAAGACAAGAAGTTGTGGAGAGCCATGATCACCAATATCCTGAAGGGACACTGCACATAGAAAAAGAAGAAGAATTTCCTCATCTTTGCTGTTATTATCACAACGTTTCGGTTGTTGTACTCTCCGTCCTTCTTCAGGCGTCTAAATTTGGGATTGTCGCCCAGGACAGTTACCAAGAGGATTAAAATCGCGATTCATGAATTTGGCGGCATAATAATTGTGAGTTCAATCCCTGGGCCGAGAAGTGCAAACTCAGACTCAGTGGAAACAGGGATATCAACAAGTGAGCAGTATTAAAAAAAAAAAAAAAAAAAAAGAACAAGACATAATATCTCTAGACAAGGACAGCGGACCGAGAACAATTTCCTGAAGTTTACTCTGATCGACAGATACCTAAAGAAAGCCGGAGAGCACATCGACCGAAACATTGTGATAATAACAACAAATATGAGGATAATAGTCCGATTATAAATAATACTTGCAGAGGCGCAAATGTGTCAGAACTGACTTTTCAAGTCTTCTAGTGAGGGTGGGTTCAGCCTTAAATTAGAGGTCAAGAGTAAGAACTTGCACGCTAAAATTAGTTCACATCATTTCCACAGGGGGGGTGCCAAATGGAGATGCCAACTTAAAGCCCCGTTCCACTGAAAGCACTCTAGCAACGGGCCCGCACAACTCCCAAATCGACAAGTATACTTCGTCTTTGTCTGCATTGTTTATTTTATGATTATAGGACAGCAAGTTGAGAGTAAAAAGCACCG